TTGGGGCGTGAATTCGCCGTGGAAGAACTTCACCGCGAGCTCAGAGAGCACCGTCCCCTTTCAGGGGTCACCTCCACTGCCGGTCAGCAGGGAAGAGTAGAAGTTCTGAATGTCCGCGTCACTGACATCGTACTCGCCGCCTCCTCGTGCCTGGAGCTGCGTTCGAGGAGCTTTTGGTGCAGCGGGCACAGCCACAAAGGCTGCGAGCTGGGTGGCCACGTACCCTGCAGCCACAAGGCACAGGCAAACGAGAGGGCGGCTCGAGCGTGGCATCGTGCGGAGCGCTGGAGGCCAGAGGGGCAACGAAGAGCTGCAAAGGCTTGCGCCAAAACAAGAGCGGGGTGAAACCCGCATTACTGCCTAAACAACTATGCATTCAGAGTTTATGGTCAAAAGTATGTTCATCGCATGATGCTTGAGAGCAAGTTCTTGCATCCTCAGCTCGCATGTCCGGCATGCACTTCGGAGCGCCAAAAGCAAGCAAGGGACAGCTGCCGAAGAGGAAGTCTAGCTCCTCCGCACTGTTGCGCGTCGTCCTGGCGCCTCCAGGCAGATTTGCGGCGAAGCGCTATATAGTTACACATCCCAATCACACGCCAGACTTCGCGACGGAGGACTTTGTTCTTCAGCTACAACATGGTGAAGGGCTTCGACTCTCGCAACTCGCACAAGGCAGGCAAGACTTCGGGACGACTGGTCCAAACTACTTGGGATTGCAAGGTTCCTTTTGACGAGCGATAGGACATCCCACTAGCTGAAAGTCAACTTTCCACATTACTGCCAAAATCAAAATCAAAGTGAATGTTATCAAGGTGGCTCTCAGTATTATTACGGCACGGCTGCTACGCACAGGCAGATTTTGTTTTGCTTCCGCAGCGTGCAAAAAAAATACGGTGAGGTCTTTGGGTCTTTGATTGCACGTTTCAGCAGGCTACCATCCGGTATTAAATTATTTGCAGGCACAGCATGCCCATGGAAGCAAGCCAGCAGAGCCAATCAGGGCTTAGCCGCCAATTACCCTCAACCCTAGGATTAAGCCTGAGACACTTAAATCCTACACTCCAAACCCTGATTACAGCCTTTCTACCACTGGACTCAAGCCTAGCCAGACCTTCCAACCTCTATCCTGTTGACTCTGACCCCTGACAACAAAGCCCCAAGCTCATTTTTAAGCACGGAGTTGCAGTGTATCCCTAACCCTAAACCCTAAGCCCTAAGCCCTAAAACCCTAAGCCCTAAACCCTACGGTGTCTGGCACTCGCACTCGGCCTTTTGGGGAATTAAGACAATAGAGGGTTTAGGGTATAGCACCTTTAAGAGTTGCAATAAAGTTCTAGAATGTTTAAGGGTATTATGACAAGGAACCCTAAACAATAATACCAATAATCATTCAGACTTCCATATATTAGGAGCCTCATGGATGTTAGTAGTATCCCATACGTAGGGTATGTGTATACATATATACACACATACATACATACATACATACATACATACATACATACATACATACATACCTACATACCTACCTACCTACCTACCTACCTACCTACCTACATACATACATACCTACATACATACGCATATTATAAAGGGTTTAAAATTAATGTTTCAAGGTTCAGGCTCGTTAGGCTACCATGGAACAACATCTGCGCGCAGGCAGCTGTCGGATAATCTCATCAAGGCAGCACTAATGAGTCACTAATGCCTTGGAGCATCCTACCCGACATGCAAGATGAAGCCGTGATTTCGCAAATTGGATTACAGAACTACACAACAGCAATAAATCCTGAAGCCACAAGTCATGAGCTTCAAAAACACGACTTCGGTCGGCAGACTCCGCAGCATGTGGTCGCAGCCTTCTCTTTGGGTGAAAGAGCCGTGGCTCTGAGGGCGCAGGCCCTCCAGCTTTTTCTGTCAAAAGGGTCTAGGGCTTTGGGTTCAAACCCTAATTCCGGCTGCTTGGGCACCTCTTTTCCAGGGCTTCGCGAATCAGTGAGCCAGGACCCCGCATAGCGGTAAGCATTCACCCAAGGAGTGTCTGGGACACGTCTGCGGCCCGGCACAGCATGCACAGCAAACTGGCCTGGCTTGTGTTCGGGTGGCTAGCACATCATGCAGTATCAAAATGTTTCCGGTCTCAATCATCCACCCCCCAAGGACACAGATGAAGAAACTCGAGGCCACAAAGAAGCCAAGCTAAGACCAACCACTCTTCTTGGGGGTTGGGCGGTTTGCCGGTATCAAATTTCAGCAATATAGGGGTCATAGTCTATCAGTCTATCAGTATAAGAAGACATGTATCGACCCCTATATCATGCGCAAAGGGTTTCCGAATCCGAAGCCCTCATCGCAATTCCCTTGCTCAGCTTCGCAGCTCTCGGGCCCTTTCAGTCGGCGTCGCTCTATTTTTAGAGGGTTTAGCGTGCAGGGATGTGCAAGGGAGGGTTAAGGCTCAGGGGTCGTATACTAAACCCTCAACCCTACCTTTTTTTGCATCCAGGACTCTAAAACCCTAAACCCAAAGGCCTTAAACTAAACCCTAAACCCTAAACTACTCTCGCCACAAAGAAAGGCATCTCGAAGCCTCAAAGGGAACCCTAGGAGACGTCTGCAGAAAAATACCTATTGAGGCGAGCTACAGCTCGAGGTTTTTGAGGGCTTAGGGTTTAGGCTATAGGGTTTATATGCTATGTGGCATATCCTAGGTTACATGCTCTGCTATAATCTCACATGCTTTTAGTTTATCTTTACGGTTGCGGAGTTAAGGGCAAGGGCCGAGAGCTTCCTAAGAAAGAGAAGCACGATGAGCTTTGCCCAGAAGTGCAGAGAATACTGATCGGAGCTTCTGAAAAATTCAGAGGTGTATTAGGAGGTTCCTCCCTACGTTGCCAGGACGTGCCTGCATGGCAGAGAACTAAGACACAGCTCCCCGGTTCCAACCACAACCGCACAGCAAAATGGCAACTCTAAAGCCTAAGCCCGAAATCCTTGCAGATCTTAGACTAGGCATGTCCGGAGCTGCGGCCCTGGCAATGTGCAGAATTTCCCCGCTCCGAGTGCTCGCGTTGGGAGCATGCCCGGAAAAAGGCGGCAGTCAACTGCTGTGCAATCTTCGACTACACGTCTCCCGGGCCAAAAACACAGACATGTCAGCAAGCTTCCGGACAACGAGTTTGCCAATTTGGAGCGGCCGTTTTCTGCAAGACCGCAGTGGGTTAACTCAACGTGCACCCCTAAGTTGGCTCTCTCCCCGATGCTCAGATCCACCTCCACATCCTTTTGCGACACCCTTGCCGCCGAAGCGGAGGGGGAGTCTCGAACCCGCTAGATCCTCCAAGAAGCACTCCAGTTGCCGGAATAGACCTGCTGTAGGAGACAATTGGACTCTGGATTGTACAACCAACGGGTAATAGGGTTCGTGGAGCTTCACTCACTCCTCGTCAGCACAGCACGTGTTCGTACCTTAGTGCTCGGCTAACCCACGTCTGCGGGGCCAAGCATCCGGACAGTATAAAACAATGCAAGTTCACCGCCACTAATTCAACCCATCCGATGAGTCTATTGAGCCCCGTGCCCCTTTGCATGCAAACCCAGATCTGTCGTGCCCAGGATTTGCGCACGCAGCGTCTCCAACTGTTGCCCTATACATGGGAAAGTATGGGAGTAGTCTACGCACTTCATGCGTGAAGCTGTGAATTTCGAGTGCCAAGCATCTTGACGCTGATCTCGGTGCCATCGCAGCACTGCACGCGATAGCGCCCCGCATCCAGGTCAGCTTCGAGAATGCGGGCCTTGGGTCTTAAGCACCCTTCTTAACTATAACAAAACTGTTTTTCATAAACGTCTTAAGCACCCTGTTTAACTATAACAAAACTGATTTTCCATCGAACCGATCTTGCCACCAAACCACGAAACCCAGCAAAGAAGGCTGATGTCACTCAACCCTGTCTGCACAACTGGATCATCGTCAAGAGGCTTCGATCTTTCTGAAGCCAGGCTATCAACAAATAAGGGTGGTCGGGCGGGCTAGAGCCTCAAGCAGTGGAGGGGGAAGTCCGATGGTGGCCCATGACATGAGTTCAAGAAAGACCACACGAACCAAGTAACTCAGCAACAGCTAACCGAACCACTTTTCTGGTAGATCCAGAACGCCAAAAACATCCCGGTCTTGGGTTTAGGTTCTCTTCTCTCTCCGCCAAGCTAAAAAGTTCGACACTGTAGGGCTTCGGGCGGAGTCCGCCAAGTGTCTAACTTTACACGTCCTAAGCCCGAAATTTTCGGAGGGTTTCGGGACCCTTTTACACCTGGACAATGCATATGCCAGGAACCGAGGCGCCGACTGTGCTGTGGATTCGTGCCACCCGAAACCCTAAACCCCAGGGTTTCGGAGGGTTTTGGGGTTTGGAAGATGCCAAGTCACCATCTTCCCGTTTAAGTCCTCGTTGCTGAGGTCCCGAAGCCTTGGCCCAGCTGAGGTGGCTTTGTCGGTTTAGGGCTTAGGATTTAAGGGATTAGGATTTGGGGTTTAGGGTTTGGGGTTTAGGGGTTTCGGGCTTTAGGGTTTAGGGGTTTGGGGCATTTGCCCTCCTACATAGGGCTGAGGGTTTAGGGTTTAGGACCATAGTCTCCTGCCTCTCTTGGCACGATGGTGAGACCGTGGGCGCATGGGGGCGGCTTTCAAAATGGCGCTTGGGTGCGTTCTATTTATGGACTGATGTTGCCTGTTGGTGTTAGCATAGGGAGCAAAGAGACGGGCCGTGTATATTTTGCAGGCTGTCGGGTTACCTTCAAGGATACTATGGGGCTCTATAATGGGGTTCCCTTTAAGGGTTCCCCTTTAAGGGATGCCATCGGGTTCCATAATAGGGCTCCCCTTATAGGAGCCTATAGAACTTGGCTAGCCCCAAAAGAGGAACCACAAGGACGACTGTAGGTAGGGGCCTGGTAGTTTCGAACCGGGTGTTTGGATGATGCGGGCGAAAGCCTGTCGACGAAGAGCGAAGTTAAAGCACGACCGCATCCTCAGAGAATGCAACAAAAACTTGCTTCAAAGAGCTTGCAGAAGTCGAATCAACAAACCATACTGTCGGGGCCAGGAGTCCAAGATCTGTGCAGGGAAGAGTACGGTTTTGGGGTACGTATTGGTACTATTCTGACATTGGCCAGAACTCTAAGGAACAGCATTAATAACTATTCTGGCTTCTCTAATTTTACGGTGCGGTCTCCCAGAGAGTATCTCGACGCCCGAACAAAAAGTATAAACGCGCAGGCGAAGAGATCGAGCGAAGCAAACACCAGAGGCAGTGCTGACTCGCCGATACGCGCACACATCTGCACGTTCTCCTATGCTAAATTTTGTCAACCCCCAAGCAGAGCTACAGCATGTTCCTGCATCCCGATCTTACGCCCATCGAAGCAGCTCGACACAGTCTCGGAAACATGGAAGTCGCAATGAAGCCTGAAGCTGCGAGAAGGAAGCCCTGTACTGGATGCTCACGAGCTCACTTGAAGGATCAAGGGACTCAGTAAGTTTAGTTGCAAAAACTTCCAACCTCAAGAACGAGGTCTTATCACCCTATAGCAAGTGTAATGATTTCCCATGAACCTTGAAACCTTGAAGCACGGCTTGCCTCTGCAAAGGTTTGAGGTTCAGGAACCTTAAACCTCCAGGGCACAGGACTGCCTCAAACAAACCCCGGAGGCACCTGATGCACGTCCCGCCGTCGAGGATGCAGTTTCCTGGGAAGCAAATTCTGCAGAAGGGGTTTGGGCGGTTCACAGTCAACGCTAAACCCAAACAAATCCCTGAGCCCTCTCAAAGTCCACTGCAGGGTTTAGGGTAGGGTTTGGGGTATGGCGCCTTGTCTAAGGAGCCCCTTTCCTCTTGCAAGTACAGCACAGTTCGAAATGCCGCGGTTTACAGTTTCTCGCTGATAAGGCTCCGAGCCCCTAGTACCCGAATGCCCTAATGTAGGGGCCTCAATAATTAGAATAAGGTTTTCGGGCCCACTATACTATAATTAGAATAAGGAACCCCCAAAATAGTACAGGTATTTATTTAGGCCCCATATTAGCCTAAAGAAGACCCCAATGACGTAACAACAACTTCAAAGCCAACACGGAGCCCTCCTGGGGCTCTTCAGCCTAGAAGACTCCTTGCACCATTCCCCAACTGATGTAGGGGCCTGAATACTCAGAACAGGGTTTTAGGGGTTCCTTCTTATAACTATAGTATACCATACCCCCAAGCCCCCATTCTGATTATGAAGGCACCTTCTATTAGGTTCTAGGACCTGCAAGCACCACCACAATAAAGGCTTCGCGATTCGCGGGTGGTGCCAGGCCGATGGGACGAGGCTTTTTTGTTCTCTCAGGCAACACGACACGACGACGTAAACAGATATCAAGAGTCCTAAACGGGTGAGGCCGGTGTAACCTGGTGTAACAACATAGTAACATAGAGCCAATCATCGCCCTATGGTGCTACAGCTACTGACACATGGAGCGGGTGATTCCACAAACGGATTGAAGAACCATCCAGTCTAGTCTGTGATTCTGTGTGAACTGTTTGTTGTAGTCTAAACGTTGCACTGGTGACATCGTTGAAAGCCCATATCGCGCCCGGAAACCAGACGAGACAGCGAAACTCCACAAACCCCAGAACCATGCTAAAGCAGCCTCGCAGCTAGGAGAGATATAGATCATTGCAGAGCCTTTGCGCAACACGGCCGCATAATTTCCTGCGACGGAAGACACGGGCAGAGGGTTACACGATAAACCCTAAACCAAACCCTAAACCCTCAACCCTGAACCCTGAACCCTAAACCCTAAACCCTAAACCCTACTTCTACTGTGTTTGGGGAACCCAAGGTCGTAGCTGTAGCATCTCCGAACTTGGCGCCCACATGTGGAGTGTGGATTCCTGAGAACGCCTTGCGGTAGCCCCAATCCGAGCAAGCTTGAGGCTTTGTTCGAAACTTTCGGGAAATCGGCACAACCGAGCCGTGTCTGCACCACTAGAGTACACGTCCTGAAGAGGTTTTGGAGAGGAAGCCAGCAATACTAACAAAAATTAACAAAACATCGTGAGCGCCCTAGAATGGACCGGACCTCCGAGAGCCATGACTATGACTGCAATTCTCGGGATGATGGTGCCTTTGCTTGAGGCTTGACTGATGAGAGGGAGATCAACCCTATCTATCACCAACGTCCGCACCTCCCAACGAAGAACCCCGAACCCCTGCCCCGATCAGAGTGTACTAGGGCACTAGGTTTCTTATCGTAGAATAAGGGCATCCCCAGAGAGCCCAATACCCCTTAAACAAGGAATATGCCTGAAATTATACGGGCCTTTATATTATGATTTAAGGTCTATTTCTTAATTAAGGGGTATTGCGCTCTCTGGGTCATGAGCATGGTAGTCCTGTGTCTTGCTGGAAGCCGACAATATCGGCTGTCATCCCATTCCTGGCTTCTGCTGTAGCTGTTCGGCTGCTCCAGGGCACATGTTGCGCAGTCAAACGATAACATGGCAGTATACTACCATATATTATAAGATACCAAGATAGCCGAAGACATGCTCTCATATGCTACTGCAAAATGAAACCAGCGATGCAAAGGCTCTTCGAATCTTCAGCTTACTCACATCTTTCAATGTGGGGAAGTCCTTGCGACAAGGTCCGAACTGTGGCGACTAGAGTTTTCTCTCTGTCTCCATCTTTGTCTGCCATAGGCTGTGCAGCTTCTCTCGGGGAGTCCGTGCAAACAGTCCCCACACAGAACGCAGACTGCTACTATGACGTATTATCATCTTCGCGATACAGTTAGCACAGTCCATTTTTGGGTCTGTCAGTCAAGCAACTCTTCCAGAAATGCATGTTCTCACTACATACTACGATCCAAGGCGTCACCCACACTATAATATACTATAATCATCAACATCGCTCCAAGCTAAGCAATTAGGGACACCCGCCTCTTCCATGCAATTACGACTGCGAGTACATAAGCAAATCGTGGAATCCTATATTCATCTTGTGAGGACGTCAGGCGCTAAACCCTAAACCCAATGATTCAAAACTGATTCTCCCTCGTGCAATCATCCGAGCGACATAATCTCTCCAAAGCTCTAGTGATACTGCTGATGGACAAAATCCTGCATGACCTTATATACCTAAACTATGGGATTTATGGTGCTGTGGTATACTTGGGTCATGCAGAATTTTGTCCATCAACAGTATCACCTGACCTGTATACCGAGACGTCAACACTGAGACACAGGGCAAGGAACAGCTGCGGCTGGGCCGTGAGACCATGAATCGTCATCCCACAGTGCTGAGTGATATTCTCTGGCCGTACCTTCAGCAGGTATGGCTTTGTTTCGCGAAATTCGAAAGGGTCTTGGGAGCATCAGGATACAGGACAGCTTCCCCGACTTCTACATTCCAGCCTGGGTTCTTCGGGCTTGGGAATTCAATTCAAGTCACCAGAATAGGGATTTATCGTAATTACCTTAGTTTCCTTCTAAAATTCAATGCGAAGCGAATTTAATCTAAGTTACCATAGTCGGGGTCTATAGTAAACAGTATGGCGTCTGTATCTTGGTAACGTAACCGACCCTAAACCCTCAACCCTAAACTGTCCTTCACACAGAACCCACTAATTAGCTCTGTAGCTGAGGCCTTCGGCTGCGGAGGTGTCTCTGAAAACAAGTCTCTCCGATCTCTCTTTTTGAACTTGAAATAAGGGCACTATAAGACTATATACGGGTACCATAAAACAGGAGCTCACGTCTTAGATGTCCAATATTGTAAGGAACTAAAGCTTAACCTTTGGGACTGCAAGGGGAATAATATAGCAACCCAGAAAAGCTAAAGGCTACTTCTTCTACTACTACGTCTTTCACCCGGCTTCGGGGGCAGTTCTCCCGCTTGGCCACGCCAGACTGTTGAAGGGACGCTTGGTTTCGGGAAGCAGCTTTCGCCCCGACAACCCCGGAAGGAACTCTAAATTCTCAGTTTCGCTGTCTCTCTCTTTGTCTTTGACACTCTCCCTGTCTCTCTCTCTTTCTCTCGCTCGCTTTCTGGCGATCCTCTCCGTCACCTTCACAAGCAGAGTAAAAGCCAATAGCTGCTGATGGCAATTACCGAAGCAGAAAAACCCGGAACACTGAACCTTTTTTCTACACATGATTGATACCGTAACCCTAAACCCTAAACCCTAAACCCTAAACCCTAAACAAAGAACCCTAAAGGCCCAACAGAGTCGCCCCATCACGGCCCAGGTGCACAGATTACCGGGCCGTCGCCCCGCATCTTCACGTCGTATCGGCCTCTCAGACGAAGGCTTTCGAGAAATTCTTCAAAGAGCCCAAAACCCTTTAGTTCAGGAATATACCGTAAATTAAAGGGGTTCATTATTATCATTTAACGCATATCCTTAATGAAAACGTATTGGGTTCTCTGGACAGATTGGAACAACGTGACACAAAGCATTGGGGCACACTGAAGCAAGAGCTCTTCAGTATATATACAACCGGTAGACTCGGTAGACCAGAAGCCATTGCTTATGGGGCTGGCTTCTCGCTTGGCTTGAACACTCTGCTTGAGCCAACATGAGGGTGAGAGGGTTTAGGGTTTAAGGGGTTTGGGTTTAGGTTTGGGGTGTCGGGCTTAGGGTTTCAGGGTTTCGGCTTTCGAGGTTTAGGTTGTGCTGCTGTTGCTGCGCTTGCAGACGCAGCCGGCCACCAGCGAAAATCGAATGACCAGAAGGCGACTTCAACACTGTTTGCAATAACCTCGGACGACTCAAACAAGGACGAGTGAGGCAAGTTTCAGTTTGAGAGGTGTGTGGCACCGCGTCGATATGTGTCGATAAACAGCCGAATGCGTAATCACGACGCATCAAGCCGCAGAGTATGTCAGAATCATGCAATATTAGAAGCTTGAATCAAATAGTAGTGCGATTCCCTAGGGTTCCTGGTTATAGTTTTCTACAATACGCCCCAAAACCCTACTTTATTCAGGCTCGTATAACATGATGGCTCACTCCTCAAGCAGGCTTGAAAGCGCCTCGAGTGGCTGCATGGGTTCACAGTTAATCTGTTGCCCTTTCGGTGCTGCCCAGTAGAATCTGAACGTCACACACCTCTGGCCGCTTAAGTAGATGACATCAGTCGACCCGTGGAATTCCGTGGAATATCAACCTGTAACACTGCAACATACTCAACCCTACAGGACCTCTAGTGTTCGAAAGATTTTTGGTTTAAAACCTGCAAAGCGCTAGGGTTAAGCGGTGGCCTAGGGCTGCAAACCATGGCCTTTCGCCGCATCGTAGCCTTGCACCTGCGCCTTCTTCCCGTTGTGCCCGACTGCCTGCTCCGATACTGTATCGCTTTTTAGCACTCGCGCTCGACGCTGATATCGCTTAAGAACCCAGGCCCTAGGTGAGAATAGGGTTTTGGGCCCCGTTATACTATAATTATAATAAGGAACCCCCAAGATAGTATAGGTAATTATTAGGGCCACTATATTAATCTATGTGGGGATCATTCCTCAAACCAAACTCAAGAAGTGATCTGACCGAGTGGTTTGAGGCTTAATCGGTGGGTGCACGGGGGGCTGCCAAGCCCAGAGTCTTATGCAATTAGGGGTTTAGGGTTTAGGGTTTAGGGTAGCAGCCAGCAACGATGCCACTCATCAAAATTCCAGTTCTGATGCTATCAATAGCGGCGGGACTTCGGAACACCCGATAAGGATGGAGGAGGCCCTTAAGGGATCCCTTAGAGTACCTCTTATAGTATAAAGCCAACCTATGAGGCCCCGACATGGGGAATTCTCTGAACGAGGATCCTTGTTAAGTCCCACAAATTATACGGCACCCTTGTAACAGGGCCTTCCAAAAGGGAACCTAACTTAGAAAACTGCTTACATAGTACCCTTATCATTAGATCCCTTGCAGAAATGTAGAAACCCTTATAGATGGGTTAGAGAACTACCCATCTGCTTGAGACACCCTGGAAACCGAATCCCGCCGTGCCAAGCACTGAGATCTCGGCTCTATGACACTGTGACCGACAACCCAGAAACCCATAGGTTCCTTCAAGGGTACTAGAGGGTTCCACTGTAGTTTCTAGAATAGGGTTCCCTTTAAGGTTGTTATAGGGTTCTATCATAGGGCGTCTCTAAAGGCTCGGTTCGGGGTTTGGGCGCTCACACTTGGGTCTAGACTCTCGCAACTCGGGCATTGCAGGAGGGTTTCGGGGTTTGAGAATTTCGGACTTCCGTTTGGGGGGGTCAGCCGGGGATTAGGGTTTCGACTCTCACTCTCGCGGGCAGCAGGCCAGGATCCAGAAGAGGGTTTAGGGCTTTTTTGCCTACTACTTAGCAAGGACGAGCCCGCATTGCAGGTTTTGACTCACACACTCGCAAAAGCAGGCATGGCGATAAGTGTCCGAGATTGCTACGCATTGCAGGTTTAGGATTTAGGGATGCCACTGCTGGGCATTGTCACACATGCCACGCCACCCGTCAAACATCCTTATGCACCCACGACTGGAATTGCACAAGTTCAGCACACAAGGAATCCATTCTTGCGGCATGCACTGAAGCAAAAATATCATAAACTCCTGTGCAAGATCGTGCTTACTTTGCTCGGGATGACCCTCCTCCGCAAACTGACCGGGCAACGCGACTTGTACTGCCCACTCCTGTAGCCTGTAATCCATGGAGTCCCAGTAGTAAAGTATTTCCTGCGCCTCTTTCTGAGAAACATGCGATGCCTCAACCAGCCCATGCACGGTCACCATCTTCCCACGAGGAAGCGTAAAAGGTGTCCTGGGTAGGCTGGGGCATCGACATCACAAAGCAACGGGGATCTAACAAACAATCGTGGATCAGAAAGCTAGTGCCAGTTCGTCCAGGATTGCAGACCATGGCTGAGAAAGACATGATATCGAGGCATCCCAAAAAACCCCGGAACATCGACAAGACTTGACCGAGTTCATCTTCAGACTCTGACAATTGCCGAAAAACCCGTCGTCAAGCATACGGCATACAAACAACTCCGTGCTCGACCGCCGCGACGACGACGAACAACAACAACAACAACAACAACAACAACAACAACAACAACCACAACCACAACCACAACCACAACCACAACCACAACCACAACAACAACAACCACCACAACAACAACAACCACAACAACAACAACCACCACAACAACCACAACCACAACCACAACCACCACAACCACAACCCACAACCCACAACCAACAACCACCACCAACAACCACCACCAACAACAACAACGACAACAACAACAACAACAACAACAACCACAACAAGGTACAAACAAAAACTGCAGCCCCATCAACCAAGTACCAGTAGGTAGAGACAAAGTCCTGATTTCAATGGGGCCTTTGCCTGTACCTGCTGCTAGAAACAAAAACTGCGTCTGTTGTTTTCACCCCCCCACTCTACAACAACCACCCAGCCTACGCAGCATTCCTATCATGGGGCAGACGCTGTGTAAACCATGGTTTGCATTCCCCAACACTCTAGAGGCACCCTTTGCGGTCGCCGGAAGCATTCCCAAATGTTTGTAATTAACATAAGTTACGGGCTGCTGTTTTTGTCTGTACCAAC